ATGACTGGAATCTTCGGAAGACCAAACCGTTCAGCGTTTTCTCCATTTATCCATTCTGTGGATAAATTCACTCTTTAAAAATAAACACAAAACCACGATATACCACCTCACACCCATCCGGATGGTTACTATAAAAAAAAAAACAGAAAATAAATGTTGGTGAGGAATATGGAGAATTTGTAACCCTCGTGCACTGTTGGGAATATAAAATGGTGCAGCTGATATGGAAAACAGTATGGAGGTTCCTCAAAGAATTAAAAATAGAATTAGCAATATAAGCCAGCAATTTTACTTTTTGAGTATATACCCAGAAGAACTGAAGGCAGAGTCTCAGATATTTTTACACCCACGTTCATACCAACATTATTTACAATAAGCAAAAGGTGGAAGCAAGCCAAGTCTCCGTCAATGAATGAATGGATAAACAGAATGTAGTATATCCAAGCAATGGAATATACAGCCTTAAAAAGGAAGGAAGTTCTGACACATGCTACAACATAAATGAACCTCGAGGACATTATGCTAAGTGAAATAAGCCACTCTCAAAAAGCCAAATATTATTTGATTCCACTTTTATGGGGTACCCAGAGTAGTCAGTCTCATAGAGGCAGAAAGTAGAATGGTGGTTGCCAGGGGCTAGGGGGGGAAGGGGAATGGGGAGTTACTGTTTAAGGGGTGCAGAGTTTAAGTTTTGCAAGATGATAAAAGAGTTCTGGAGACTGGTCACACAACACTGTGAACGTACTTAACACGACTGATCTGTACCCTTAAAAATGGTAAATTTTATGTTTATGTGTATTTTACCAAATTTTAAAAAATCATCAGAATGGCTGGGGCCATCTATGCAGAGCATCTTTATTTTAAAGCCATAGAAGCTCCACTAGAGGAAAGGGTGCCACTTAAGGAAAAAGCCAGCTCTTCCCACTCTTGTGACCTAGAAATGCCAGATTGCTTCCATGATTTTGTCTCCACGTGACAGGCAAAATGCAACTGAATGTCTTGTTCATGAAAATAGGACTTAGTTACCAGCAACATGACCTGTGTCAAGGTCAGAGTAGATGATGGCTCCATTTACATGACAAGGAACTGCTGACTCTTTAAACTTTCTTCTCAGCTCTTTTTTCACAAACTGTAAACTCCTGCAAAGCTCCAAGGTAACACAGCATGTATCTGTTTGCTAGGGCTGCCATAACAAAGGACCACAAACTGGGTTGCTTAAACAACAGGGATTTATTATCTCACAGTTCTGGAGGCTAGAAGTCCAAGATCAAGGTGTTGGCAGGGTTGGTTCCTCCTGAGGGCTGTGAGGGAGATTCTGTCCCATGCCTCTCACCTGGCTTCTGGTGGTTTGCTGGCAATTGTCAGCATTTCTTGGCTTGCAGAAGCATCACCCTAATCTCTCTTTTCATCTTCATATAGCATCCTCCCTGTGCATGTGTCTGTGGCCAAACTTCCCCTTTTTATAAGGACACCAGTCACATAGGGTGGATTAGGGGTCCACCCTACTACAGTAGGACCTCATCTTAACTTACATCTGCAACTCTATTCCCAAATAAGGCTGCTTTCTGAGGTATGGGGTTAGGACTTCAAAATATGAATTTTTGGAGGACACAATTCAGTTCGTAACAGAGCAGGTTCATGAAGGATGCCAAGCCTCCTGGGGCACAGTCTGAGAACCTGGAACATGTTTCTGGAGTCCACAGCCCGTCCCATTAAGTTGCTCCCCTCGCCCCTCTAGGCACCACCTCTCCCACCCGGAACTCCATCAGGGGTGCCTAGAACTATGGCCACTTCACATACCTCTACAGTCAATGGCTTTAAAGTCCATCCTCCACTTTGTCGATTATCTTGGGCCATTGCTTTTTTTCCTCCAATCAGATGGGCCCTTTTGGTCATGAAAAAGCTTATCTGTGCCTCTACTAATAAAACAGCAGATAAAACAAGTCAGGTCCTTAACTAATTCAGATGCAAAGTGTGTAGCAACTAACTTTGAAATTACTTTCTAGATGAGATTTATTTCAGGAACATCTATGAATTTTAATTACTGCTCTCTCCTTGTTACCCAACAGCAGAGCTAGTGGTCTGAGCAGCTCAGTGAATATCTGAATGGAATGCCTGGAATGCAGCCAGCAAGAGCTCTGTGTGTGACTGAATGTATAATAAGCAAACCGCTTGTACCCTAGAGTGTGTGTGTGTGTGTGTGTGTGTGTGCGCGCGCACGCACGCATGCGTGCACTGATACCTTGGTTTCCTATGACCCCAGGGTTAAAGGCTAGCCCAGGGGTTATGTCACTCCATCTTCACCACTATATGCTTAGATACATATCTATGCCCCCATTTTACAGATGAGGAAACTGAGGCATAGGCTGGCTAAAATTGTTACTTCCCTAAACTTGTAAGATGCAAAATCAAGATTCAGATTCATGTTTTCCCTTAAGCCAACTTACCTACCAGGTAAACCTCATCTCCCCTGTACCTGAAGACACTATAATGGAGATGGAGATGATTACTGCTCCATATAGGAGAGTTTTTGAGGGTCTGCTTAGTTGAGGTGGCAGTGCTAAGTGCACTTTAGGTTGAAAGCAGTTCCATTTTAAGACAAGTCAGCATAATTTGTAAACAATACTCTGCCCATTTGATTTTAATAAAACTGAGCAAATACAGTGTTATCTACTTTTTACAGAATGCATTTGAGAAAGGTTTTCCCTTGGTTGGTTTTCCCAAATACCCATTTGTTTAGTTACCTACAAAAGCGGTGCTGGTGACTATCGACAGGCTTTAACAAGTGAATGGCTAGAAGCGTTCCCACTTATTAAAGTTTATTGGGTACAAAGAAATGAATCTGCAGAGGGAACATCAATAAATACAAAATACACGTGAAACACTGGGGGAGTCACAGACCACAGCGCCAGCAAGAATACGCGAGGATGGGAGGGGCGCTACATTTGAGTTTGTGGTCTAGGGGTGAAGGCTTTGTCCTGCTGGAGGCCGGCACCGCGAGAGTTCAAAGGGCAAGAATTCAGTGATGGGTCTGGAGGAGGGCTGTGATCCCAGGTTCCTGAAATTTCTCCCTAATTGCAATTTTTGGTTTCTCCTCATTCCTTCCCTCTGTCCTTGAATGGTTTTATTTTGAATTTCCATCCCAGCGGTGCAGAACATTAATGTGTAAACACCTCATCAGGGCAGGCAGTCTACTCTGAAGGTGGAACAGCCTTGGTCTAGCACCACCTTAATCATGATCATTAAAACCCTTGTAATTATTCTGTACACCTGAGAGAGAGGTGGAGCGGCTACTGTAATAAACAGAAGTTCTGACCTTCTGGAAACCTTGCAGAACCAAAAAAAACAATCAGGTATGCCCATAGCTGATGACCTGCAAAAGCTTCTTTTCCATTGATTTAGCTGTTACAACTTGGCATGATTTATTCCCCAGGGAAGGGAACTTGAGCTCGCTCAGTGGCTTCTGTCTGGAATGAGAAAGCATAACAATGATGGAGGACACCATCTTAGTCTCCACTCCAGACAGCAGCCAGGTGGGTGTAGTATCATGTTTGCCAAAACGCTCCTAACGGTCTACCTTTCGTGGATGGCGTGTTCTGGGCATTACATCCTTGAGGTGTGAGTGCATGAGTGGGCTGTTTCAAAGGAAACTTATTTTTCACTGCTCTTCCCACTTCTGCCTCCCTGATTTCCTTTAATCTGCAGCTATTTTGAGCACAGACGAGGGATCAGTCTGTTTCCTCCTATTTTCTCTCCTTCCTCTGTCACAGCTCTTCCACCAAGGATGGGGTCATGCAGCAAGCAAAAAACACACTGCTATTCCTTTGCCAGCTCCAGAAAAAGGGTGTGAGAGGAGCGGTCACGGGTCACAGCCAGTCCTGAGCCGGTCCATAGTCAGGGCTGGCTGAACTCACACACTTCTCCCCACCTAGAGAGGTGCCACCACAGGGACTGGGGGACTCTCAGACCAATTCGGTTCTCTTGGGCTCAGAAGGCAGCTAAGGTTTGCCTGATGGGTGGCTCCAGGTTCTCTAAGGGTGGGCATGGGGCACTGATATTTGAGGCAGATATTTCAGAATACATTTCAGTCTATACTTTTCCGTGTCATGCTTTTCACGAAAACCCTGCACTCAGGGGAGGAAAAAAGAGAGCTCTGAGACAGAATTAGGAATTTACTCATGATGACTTACACAGGTTTCTAACTTGCAGGGAAAGTACTGAAATCTCATACAGCTCTCACCTCACCTTGTCTGCCAGGTGGAGGCTGGGAACTTGGAGGGACAGGAGGAACGTCATGCAGACTTGGGCAAGAGGGGCGGTGTAAACAGTAAGAGCATTGGCTACTTGCAGGATCATTCAGATACAAAAGGGGCCCTGTGGTTGGCCTTGGAGAGGCCTTTGACTTGTGTTATGTTTACATTAGGAAGCAAAAGAATCCCTGTACTGCAAGACGGGAGCGAGATGTGGCATCTCGCTCACTGGAGGCCGTGTGGCATCGTCTGGGTGTGGCGACACATTGCTCTCTGTGAGCCGCGTCATTTATAAGGCATTATCTGGTTTGATTTTGCAGTTTGTGTGATGAGACTAGAAAATCATGGAATAAGAAGCTGTTGTAGATACTATGACTTTGGGAAACTAAGGAATCTTCTAAAAATGGTTCTGAATCTAGGGAGGGCCAGCCTGCACGCGTATTTACAGTCATGGAATGGACACTCTGTGGTGGGGACAGGGCTGTCATCTGTGCTGACAGATGAATGCCAAGATGCATTTTAAACAATGGAGAAATGATGTGTGTTTTTTACTCAAATAAAAATCGACTATAATACTGATTTAAAGCCTGTGCAAATCACATATTTACAATAAATAAATGCTCCATGCAGAGCCTGTATGTCAACTGAATTACAACTTGAGAAGGGTGAGGTCTGACGTTCTCCTGGGGATGTCCACCCCACCATATGGACCCCCAGGTGGCTCACAGGACGTTGGCTTCATCTGTTTTCTCACCGGAGTGTCTTTAGGGATAACTGTGGAAACATGACAGTGTTATCAGGTGGGGTCAGAAGACTCACAGCACATAAATGACACACCCCGGGGCCGGGCAGTGACGCTTTCCCTCATGCATGCAAGGCTGCCAGGGTCTGATGGTCCCATCATACGTAAGGTGCTGATTTTCACCCAGGACGTCATGGGTGGAAAAGGGATGAAAAGTGTAGCTTGTGGCAGGTGGGGACCTAATCCCATCAAAAACATTTAAGGGATCAAGCACCAGCAGACTCACTTGATGGGAAGCTCCAGAAAAGCAAAGAACTTGGTGGCGATCCCAAGACAAGGCAACGGAAAACAGAGAAAGGGTCCCAGGCTTTCAGATTTCAGAGCCCCCAGCCTTGCACGGATCACTTGGGCTCTGTACCCATAGAAGAAGAGCACCCCCAGGGTGCTGTTCACCATGTCTGGAACCCTGTGATTTCTCTGGGCGATTTGCTTTTTGCCTCACTGAAGTGAAAATGAATTAAGATGGTGTCCAGCTAGACATAAAGAAGATCTTCTTGACAATGGGATGCCCAAGAGAGACTTAACAATTCATCCTTGACTAGACTTTATGGGCTCAGGGATTTAGATGTGTGCCTGCCATGAGGTCAGGGACCAGACCGTGCATAATGTTCCATCATGCTTGCCACGTCTGAAGGTGAGGGTGACTCCTGTCCTGTCAATTCTAACATGCCAGGCAAAGCAGTGAAGTACAGTGGAAGGAGCACGGGACGAGGAGTCAGAGGTCTGGCGAACGTGACCTTGACCTTGGGTGAGTTCCTTAACCTCTTGGAGCTTGGTTTTCTCATATGAAAAAAGTCTGCATTAAAGGTATCTCTCCAGCTTATACCACAGAGTTGCTAAAAGGAGCAAACGAAATAACATATGCAAGTTATCTAAACTATAATAAAGAGCTATATAATGTAGGAAATATTATTTTGATTATTACTATATCTTTCTGATCACAGGAGTAATGTATTTATCATGGAACATTCAGAAATTGCAGAAATGCCCCCTAAGAAGTCAAAATCAGCCATAAGTTGGCAGAGTGAATGCCTGTGAACAATTTTGTGTGTATTCTTCCTATCTTTTTTCCTCTGTATACATACTTTCTCTGAACTGCAATCATACACCCAGTTTTGAACCTACGATCATCTGAGAATGGTTATTGCAATTCTTGGATTAGCCATGGTGAGAAAGGGGAGGGGTGCTTGTCCTCCTTCAGGGAGCTCATCCCCACTTCCAGTAACCTAAGTTCCTTCTTTCTCACGTCCCTTTCCTTGAGGTTCTGATCTAACAGCAGGCCACCCTTTTTGTTACACGGCACTGTGAAACAGGAGGAGGCCAGGGTGGACGGAATGCATGTTTTCAAAGAAACGAAGGGCCTTTAAAGATGAGACCCTGTCGTCTGCGGTGAGAGATGTCATCTCCGCCCAGGTTAGAAAACACTGTGTCCAAGTTGCCTCGTGTGAGCACGAGGGCATTTCTTCAAAGACTCATAATTATGACACAAGCACCTCTCTGGTTCCCCCGATCCCCTCCCCCCAGCCTTCCTCTAGCCACCAGCAAAATTTGTGGCTACATTTGGTCAAAAGAAATGATAATGTTGGGGACTTCCCTGGCAGTCCAGTGGTTAAGACACCGTGCTTCCACTGCAGAGGGCACGGGTTCAGTCCCTGGTCAAGGAACTAATATCCCGCATGCTGTGCAGTGTGGCCAAAAATAAAATAAAGTAAAAATTTAAAAAATAAGTAAATGATAAGGTTGATGGGAGAAAAACCCCCAGGGTGCTATGAGAAACCATGTATTCTATAGACGAGAGAGAACACCAAATTATGTTTTATACATGTTACAGAGCTTTCCTCTCAGGCTTCTCAGGCCACGGTAACGAGGGAAGAATGATGGGAGCGAACGGGGTGATGGTTGCAGAGTGATTCCCAAGGGGTTCTGTGTTGCCAAAGCTGCTTCTGTATGTGGTGGTGATTCCAGAGAAGCTCCCCCCCTTTCACTCTTCAAGTTTTGAAATTGTGAGTGTTTCATCCCAGCTGGAAACAAAGGTACCCCTATGGTTTTCCCTGAGGAAAAACAGGAGGCTGTTCAGAGGAAAGCACACCCTCAACATTTCTGTGCTCCCCGAGGTTTCCCAGTTTTACACTCAGAGACCTGAGGGCCGTGTTACCTGAGCATTTCTGCCTTTGATGTCATCGGAGCTCTGGCCGGCCGCCTCAGTGTGGAGCCAGGGACCAGGTGTGCGGCCTGAAAGACACAGGAACCATCCCACCATCTGCTGGCCCAGGGCCGGCTATGTGCTTCACGGAGAAAGTCTGGCTAAACCGGCACTTAGGGCAATGGTACAGGAACCAAGGGTAATGTAAGTCGGTCAACCTGAAACCCTCGGGCTCCTGGCCCTAGACTGTGCGTTTCTACCCACTGCCTCTATGTCACACACTGTGGATACAGAGGCGTCACGTCCACTGAGCTGGGAGAACAAGTGACGAAGGCCTCTCGTCTAAATGCAGGTGCGAGCTTCTCAGCTCTGAACACAGCATCAGCTGCACACTCGCTCGTGCGTCCTGGCCCCAAATGTGCCGGCGTCGTGCTGGGGTTGCTTAAAAAAAAAGGAGTGAAAGTGTGTGCTGACATAGCTCAGACCCTGTTCCATGAGCATCCAACTCACTCTCTAAAACATATTAGGTTTAAATATTACACAAGTTACATATGAATATATTCTCATAATTAAGAATTCAAAGAATATAGAAAAGATAATAGGGAAAAAATACCCCCTCAAGTGCTTCCTCTCTGCCTGCCCTTCTCTCTAATCCCAAATAATTATCCCGGAGTTGCCTCTGCTAAAAGTCTGCTGTTTATCCCTCCAGCTTTGTTTATCTTTTTGACATTTACTTACATAGACGTGTGTACACGTAGATACATGGTTTGGTTGGTCTAGCCAAGTTTTAAATCCACATTCCTAGGAATTCCAGAACTTTTCCTGTGAGTCAGGTGATCCAAATGGTGTCCCTGTGTCTCCTCTGCTGCATTTGGTACAAGACTTTTCTGTCTGCTTCTGTCACAGGCTAGGAATTAAATAACCATGTCCCAAAGCCCTCCCAACAATTCACGTTGCTGTGCTACGTACAAAGCAACATGAAAAGCAGAAATGTCCATCCCGGATTATTTACGATAGTGAAAAGCTGATAATAACCTGTATTCAACAACAGTGTTTAGTAAATCTAGGGTTCATTATCGTATGATGGAGCACCAAGAAGCCATCTGAATGTCTACAAAGGCTCAAATAATTTGGGGTGATGTTTGAAATGCAGGACAAAAAAGCAGGCTAGAAACTGTATAGATAGCAAGATGTCAACTATTTTAAACAATCCATTCAAAAAATGTAAATAATATACTGAATTGATTCCTTTTGGATTTACTGCTTTTTAAAAACTCTTAAAAATACTCTTCAAGTTTCCTACAATGGGCATATAAGTCATCTTAAGAATCTGTTCTGGTAAGATATAGTTTTTTAAATGAACTGCCACACAGAAGGGTCTCTACACCTTACAAAACATTAATCCAACAGACACTGTAATTTTCATTAAAATACTTTTAAAATTACCGAGTGCACTTGTTCTAGGATGAAGATATTTTTGGACCAACGGCATAGGGAGTACTAGGTTTCTAGTCAGATTTACAACTGAGCAAAAAGTAAAGAGACACTGATAAACAGCCCCTGACCGAATTCCACGCGGCAGTATGGCCTTGACACTACTGTTCTTAGATTTACGAAACTCCAGTCTACTACAGAAAAGCCTTCCTCTAGACCGGGGTTTCTTAACTTGGCTCTACTGACATTTGGGGCTCGAAAATGCTTTGTTGTGGGATGCTGCCTGTGTGCTATAAGCAGTTTCACAGCATCCCTGGTCTTTACCCACTAGACACCACCAGCACATGCCCCAGACCATTTGTATCCACAAAAAAGGTCTCCAGACAGTGCTGAATATCCCCTGGGGGGGCAAAATCCCCCACTTGGAGAACGACGGGGCAATGAAACAGGCTTCTCCATAGGTAAGCAGTGCCCACTAGTTTTCATAAATACGACTGGAAACAACAGAGCTAAGGAGGATCAATTTCTTCTTAAAACAGAAAGAAAAACTCTGCATCTTGTTGTAAAAGAAATTTCACTGCTGCTAGAATGTGTGGCTGAGAGTTGCCAGGGTTACCCCAGGATGCTTTTAATCCAAATATCTCCTTGGGGATTTTCCCTTACGAGATGCCACTAGAGTCTCTTAGAATTAAGCTTTAGAGCCCTTCTGCTTGAAACAGTCCTTCACATGGGCTGTTTGCCCACAGAAGAGTATTTCAGATTCACTAAAATGGTGGTTTTCAAACTTTTGGTACCACAGCGTGCAGTAAGAAATCTCTTTTCCATCTCTATCCAGTCACACGCGTCTACTGCACGCAGAGCAGCCCAAGGGACCACTGCTGCTGCCTCCTAGTAACCAGATGGTGCCTCTTCCCCCAGTTATTAACACGCCGTGTTGCAGAAGCTGCTGGCTACAGAGCAGCCAGATAGGAAAGACTTCACTAAACTGTGGGGCTTAAAGAAGAAAGTCTGTGCTTGGGCTGGAGGAGCAGAGGCCTGAGGGCCACACTGGTTTCCAACTTTATTTTTTGTCACTTGTAAACCAAGCCAGGCTTGTACCTTTTCTCAGACAGAGACATATTTTCAGGTCAAAAACGAAAAGAAAAAATCCGTTCTGTAGCCAACGAACAAGAGGCTGAATACTGCAGGGCTTGGAAAACACCCAGAAAGGATTTACAAACTTGGTTGGCCATCACAGCTGGGTCTCCCAGGACCCCTCCCAGTCTTGGAGTACAATTCCAGGGGCTGGGTGAGGAGAAAGTGGACTCCTAGGAGAAGCACATCTAACCGTCATCTCTGGGCCAACTCGGTCTCTCTCTAAGGTAGGGTCCACATGGCATAAGGTGGAGAGTAGTAGGTATGGTGCAGAGAACCAAACTGTGTATCTGAAACAAATGGGATGCTGCATACACCGGCCTCACGTGCAGAGAAGGAATGTTGGCCAGACCACGACAAGAAAGGCAGATGGTTAGACGGAATCAAAAGCACAATTCTCTGTGACTGGGAACATTTCAATGGCAACGCTAACTGTATGACACAGACATTAAGTGGAACGGTAATTTCTGTTTCCCTTCCCATCCCCAAAGCAGCGCAACAGACAGGAAACGGTTGCAAAACAGAGGAGAATGTTGTTACTCGGTGATTTCAGTGCGGATTTCAGTGCGGGGATGAATACATGGGCTGGGCCAGAGTGAGGGTGCCCTCAGCAGTCTTCCCCAGGGTTCTGTATGCTGTGTGATGATTGTTTACAGAAGGGGTAGACAAAATAATTAGCTACTAAAGGTATCTGAAAAAGGCCTGAGAAAACCTGGTTAAAATGTTAAACCTTGTATTGCTACTGATGGGAGTAGTTGTTTTTATATCTTTTAAAAATAATAAAAAGATTCTGCTAAAAAATATATTTATCCAGAAAGATGTTGATTTGAACTTTAAAAAGGAACATGGAATCATCATTTTCCCTTTTCAATACAGAGCCACTGAGTTCTGCTGGTAGCTCCCTTTCTAATGTCAAGTTCATCCCTTCCTCTCACGTGAGCCTAGGGCATGTAGTGGGGTCTTCCTAGGCCTCTGCATGGAGACTCCTCACTCAAGAAGGTGTGGAACACACCCTTGGATTGGTTCTATGCTGTTCCAGTATTTTGGGCAGCCAACATGACACTATACATAGAGAATCCTAAAGATGCTACCAGAAAACTACTAGAGCTAATCAATGAACGTGGTAAAGTAGCAGGATACAAAATTAATGCACAGAAATCTCTGGCATCCCTATACACTAATGATGAAAAATCTGAAAGTGAAATCAAGAAAACACTCCCATTTACCACTGCAACAAAAAGAATAAATATCTAGGAATAAACCTACCTAAGGAGACAAGACCTCCATGCAGAAAATTATAAGACACTGATGAAAGAAATTAAAGATGATACAAATAGATGGAGAGATATACCATGTTCTTGGATTGGAAGAATCAACATTGTGAAAATGACTCTACTACCCAAAGCAATCTAAAAATTCAATGCAATCCCTATCAAACTACCACTGGCATTTTTCACAGAACTAGAACAAAAAATTTCACAATTTGTATGGAAACACAAAAGACCCCGAATAGCCAAAGCAATCTTGAGAACAAAAAATGGAGCTGGAGGAATCAGGCTGCCTGACTTCAGACTATACTACAAAGCTACAGTAATCAAGACAGTATGGTACTGGCACAAAAACAGAAAGATAGATCAATGGAATAGGATAGAAAGCCCAGAGATAAACCCATGCACATATGGTCACCTTATCTTTGATAAAGGTGGCAGGAATATACAGTGGAGAAAGGACAGCCTCTTCAATAAGTGGTGCTGGGAAAATTGGACAGGTACATGTAAAAGTATGAGATTAGATCACTCCCTAACACCATACACAAAAATAAGCTCAAAATGGATTAAAGACCTAAATGTAAGGCCAGAAACTATCAAACTCTTAGAGGAAAACATAGGCAGAACACTCTATGACATAAATCACAGCAAGATCCTTCTTGACCCATCTCCTAGAGTAATGGAGATAAAAACAAAAATAAACAAATGGGACCTAATGAAACTTCAAAGCTTTTGCACAGCAAAGGAAACCATAAACAAGACCAAAAGACAGCCCTCAGAATGGGAGAAAATATTTGCAAATGAATCAACTGACAAAGGATTAATCTCTAAAATTTACAGGCAGCTCATGCAGCTCAATAACAAAAAAATAAACAACCCAATCCAAAAATGGGCAGAAGACCTAAATAGACATTTCTCCAAAGAAGATATACAGACTGCCAACAAACACATGAAAGAATGCTCAACATCATTAATCATTAGAGAAATGCAAATCAAAACTACAATGAGATATCATCTCACACCAGTCAGAATGGCCATCATCAAAAAATCTAGAAACAATAAATGCTGGAGAGGGTGTGGAGAAAAGGGAACCCTCTTGCACTGCCGGTGGGAATGTGAATTGGTACAGCCACTATGGAGAACAGTATGGAGGTTCCTTAAAAAACTACAAATAGAACTACCATATGACCCAGCATTCCCACTACTGGGCATATACCCTGAGAAAACCATAATTCAAAAAGAATCATGTACCA